GCGTTTGCCAGTAGAGAGGGTCGTTGCTGAGGATCTATTTATACTGGCGCTTCAGCTACTGGGGAGAAACATGTACTTTACAAACTCACAATCTCGCTTATCAGATACTTCTATCCGAATCGCAAACCGGGCTTTGACAGGGTCGCCTGGGTGGTCCCTGCCTATCGCTAACTGTGAGTGGTGCTCCTCGCAGCAAGCAATAAACCATTGCCTTCTGGCTGAGGAAAGGTTGCGGGCGAGACTAATGCGTGTATATCCTTAAGTCCGATCGAATGGTTCGGCTCAAGCTGTGGTGGAAAGGTTGGGACGTCCAGATGCGTGTACGGCTTTGACAACTTGTACATCGACTGCACATCGCGGAATTTGAAGAAAAAGTTTGGGAGATAGTCTCCAGAGCCTGGTTCCTTGCGCCGAGGTTCAGTAAGCAAGTACAGACATTTCTAATGGAAGCTCACTCGAGGAAACAAGAAAGACTCTACCGGTCCGTATTCCTTCTCAATCGCCCTAAGGATATGCAAAGCGTGACCCATGTTGCCAATACCAGTATGAGTCTGTACCGTGAGGAGCTGGTTATGAGCCTTGTCCGGGGGCTCTTCTCTCTTGGACTTGACAGCAGGGGGTGATGGAGTGCATAGTATAATACTACCAGAGAAGGGCCGCCCCAAGCTGCGCAAGTTCAATGACTCCCGTGAACGAATCCGCACACTAGCGAGAGCCATTCAAATGCTTTTCGGAGTCTATCAAATAGCTCAGTTGGTGCTGGTCGACGCCGAGAGAGAACTCAAGTTTCATTTGAATATGCTGATGTCAGCCAAAATGTCTAAAGGAAAAATATGTATGGCGATACAATCGTGCAAGCATACATTAACACAAGGTGGATAGCCAAAGTTTACACTGTTAATATTGTCCGAGTTTAAAGCGATATTACTTGTAAACTGCGAGAAGAAAACATCACGGGTTGCGATTTCAACGACCTGCGCTCGCGTAGCTTGGTGGAGTCTCCCCGATGTCGGACGCGTTCACTCGGCCAGCATCTTGGTGAACCAGCACGCCAGGGCCGACAGGTTGCATAGGAAACACCCCGGGATCGGGGTGAGGACCATGGTAGGATGAAGGGGGATAGACGTGCGGATCCGGAACTCGGGGCCGCGCTTCGCGTGCCTTGGCCAGTGCCAGAGGATGTGCCCTCAGGCTACCGCTAGCATCGGAGCGCCCATCGCCAAATGGATCGGCGGGGTCGTAAAGAAGGCCAGTTGTAGACGAGGCGCGGAAATGAGCCGACTCGCGTGGGGATGTGGTCGTTGTACTCTCGGCATCAGGGTAACTGCCACGCATATGCCGAGCCAAAAGGGGATCGTTTTCGCCAACCACACTCTGGGAGTGGGTATGTGAGTGGTGCGCGGTAGTCCCGGGCAGATCCTCGTGGAAAATGCTGCCACTGGCATTTGGATTGGCACGCGCACCCACGACACCGTAGGCGTAAGGAGTCGGTCCCGGCGGTTCTGCCAAATCAAAGTCGTCCTCGTCTAGCATTTGGCGGGGGGCCTGAAGGCGAGGATTGTTCAGCGCAGCCGCGACCTTGCGCCTTCGCCTGCTGATGTAGAACAAGCCAATTAGGACACCGAGTAGGGCCAAGGTTCCACCAACGACACCTCCAACTATGTTTGTTGTTCGCCCCGAAAGTCCCGACGATCTGTTGGGTGATGTTGCAAGGGTAGGAACGACAGTGGTGAACTAGTGTAAAGGGTTTAGACCACAAGTGTTGTAACAGCATGAAGTTTTAGGACTCGCCGTTGTGGGTACGCCATTGATACTAGATACAACGGTGACGAGAACGCTTGTTACACTCGACGTCTTCCCATGCTCAGAGCTAGGACTCGGGGGTTGGGTTGTAGTGGTGGTAGTAGGATCACGAGTGCTCCCGGGTATGGTCGTCGAAGGTGGGGCATTTGAGCTACCTGTAGTTTCTGTGGGGGTTGGTAACGAACTTTGACTGGTAAAAGGTGAAGCAGACGGCGTGGGAGACGGCGTAGGCGTGGAAGTATCGGATATCGACGAAGCGGTGCTAGCAGGCACGGAGGAAAGAGAAACACCTGAGATGGTTTGAGGTTGACACAAAGGGCGCGACGGCAATGAAATAGAATATTAGTGCCGATTGCTCACCTTGCGATGTAGCGCTATCTGTGGGGGTCGTTGCACTTTCGGTCGAGGTTTGTGTTGGGGAGGTAATGGTTTCAGTGGTCTGAGACTGTTGCGAGGATGTTTGTGAGCCTGGTGTTGACGTCGGTTGATCGCTCGTTGATGTGGGGGGAGCGGAAGTGTTACCCTGAGACGAAGTGGTGGTCTCTCTACAAATAACATATTTATTCATACCCTCGACAAAGCCAGGAACATGCTCACCGAGCTGAGGTTGTCGTCACACCATCGGTCGTGCTCTGTCGGCGCGAACTCGTAGCCTGCTCCACGGATGAAGTGGTGGGTTGCGTCTGAGAGACTGGGGTTGTGCGAGTAGGGGTCGTACGCGTCTCAGCAGACGAGCTACTCTCGGGAGCTTGAGTACTGGTTTCCTGTGGAGTGTCGCTTGTGCTGGAGCCTTGCCTCGGGACAACCACATACTAGAAAAACTTTTTCAACCCAGGCCCGTGGCCGAGCGGAGTGTAGAACGAAAGGTCCAGCCAATCAACTCACCATCGTGCCTGTTAAACCCGATTGAGAAAATTACTGTGTCCAGTTGGTACGACGGATGTATTACTATCTATGGCAGATCACTCACAGACCAATCCAAGAAAACGTGCCACGGGTCCGCAATCTACCCTATAATGCCGATATCTGTGGCACCAGCTCGGTTCAGGGAAGCACGAGCCTGCAGGCAGCCGCACAAGGTCGGCAGTGGTGAGAAAACCGCGGTGGCGAAATCCCGGGCTGCGGTGGTGTGGGTTAGATCATTGCTGTGCCGGACTCCACGTGATCGAACAGCCTCGAGCAGCAGCCACCGTTGACGCATACAATGGCGAAGGATATCGCTCCCCGTTCATGCTTTTTTGTTGAAAATATTGTTATTCAAACGGCGGCTAGGCTGAAAAGTAAGGAATATTGCGCATATCCTCGCGAACTGTGCACTTCTGCCGCTAGCGGGTGACATCGGACTTGCAATCTAACGTGCGTGGGTGGTGCGCAGCAGGCAGAATGATTTGCAAGTTCAGCGCCCACTGATCTGCAACCGAATATGAGGCGGAATGGATATTCAAGACGAGAGGTCCAAGCCATACCGTCTGACCTATTGTTTATCCATTTCGGCTCCAGACAAACTGTTTGAAATAGCCACACTAGCCAGCGGAATCCGGTTCGTGGCTTGCCAGTAGACTGTGGGAAGTTGTCGATAGTTACCTAGAATGACTTAATCAAGGATAGGGCAATTCATGCTGTTTGGCGTGATAAATGGCCGCGGTCCTGCCTGATGTGCCACCGTTGATGTTCCACGACGGAAATGAATTTGATTTCAGGAATGCAATGCAGACCCCCCCTCCGCTTTGCGAGTGGAACCAGTCGCGCTGTGAAAATGCCACTGTTCGTACAGTGGTCCTAGGTTGTGACATGGGCGGGGTTAAGCTTTAATTCAGTCAAAGAGACGCATTAAGCACTCGGTACACGTAATCCGTCATCAAGTTTGCTTGACAGCCTCGCTCTCCGCATACTCGGAGCCGAGTAATCCTCTTTGTTCCCTACGACGACTCCTTCTGGCTCTTGCCAGCCTTCCCTATCATAACGTATCGAGAAAACCTACTAGTATATGCGTGTCATGTCCACACGATCACAGGCAATCTCACAGCTTGGATTGTCGTCCTCGCCAAAGGCTATGACAAACTTGGATGCCCGGGTGGTAAGACGGATAGTCCTTAAATAGGTTGAATGGCACTCACCATGATTGCTGTTGCCCCTCCCCCCGCCGTGTTGTGTTTCCTTAGACCTTCGAGGATACAATGAAGGACTACCGCCGTATGCTCTACCGGCTGGATCTCGCCACGTCATTTGGATCCACCGATGCTTTGCTCCATCACTTCATGAGCGAGACCACCCTCGACGGCTTTATCGAAATCCGAGTGCATAGCGTATACCCGAGCCCAGGCGCTCCAGCCGGTGTCTGCCCCACTCCCAGTGCCCGGCTCTCGTTCTTTAGGGAGTCTCCGACAGGGGAAGTCTTTGCGGACAAGCTTTTCGAGCCAGCCCGTGATACGTCGGAGAAGAGTGGAGACACACTCTACCGCCAGAGATACACTGTTGCGAAAAGGTTCCCCCCGGGCACGTTGTTATCTCAAGCTTTCAACCCGATCATTCAGCCCCTGCTCAAGGGTATGCCCCCTCGCTCTGCACTCTGGATCCTCACTAACATTCGCCTGAATTTTCCCATGGAGGCAACCGCTCGACGCTCGTATTCGAGTATCGTGCATTCCTGCTTCGGCCGACCCTAACCTCGGATCTGTTAGACGAGTGTGAGGTTGTGAGCCGTCAAGCGCCTCACAAGCTGATGGTGGGCTACGTCGGGCGATCTGAAAGAGGGGCATTGTCCGTCTATCAGCTCGACGACCATATCGCCCGTACGACATTCCTCGACATGAATCCAATGGCGTTTCATGTCAGCACTGCGAATAATGATTTGGGTCGCGAGTGTGTGATTGCGTGAAAGACGTTATGGCATCGGCACCATGGTGAGCGCCCAATCTCGAGATCTCTACAGCTCGCTAACTAGACCCTACAGTATCCCTTTGTGTTCTACTTTAACCACCAGAACATTTATTTCTCAGTTTTGCACATGTTCTCCTCATGCTATATTATTTTGCAATCTGTAGCGGCAATGTCAGCTTTCGTGGCACTAGGCACTCTTGTTTTGTCGTTTGAGTCGATTGTGTTATCCGCCCGGAGTCAGTAATGGTGTAGTTCTATGCTTGTCGTTTGGTTGTTGTGCACTGCATCCCGTTGTTTGGAATGCAAAAAAATAATATTGTCCCCACCGTGAATCGAACACGGGCTGCTTCGGATGCTGATTGATTCCACAACGAAGCGTCATGACCACTAGACCATAGGAACTTGTTAGATACTCCGCTTTTCCTGTAATC